GTCTCTTTCGGTGGAGTGAAGAATATTGCCTTTGGAGCAATGCTTTCAAGTCTAAAATGAATTGCCTTAGTCTGAAAGTCTATTTTTAAGTATTCCTCCTGTTGCTTATTGTAAGAGAAGCTGTAATGAAAATTTAGGGAGGAAAAAATGGTATCTGAATTTGAAACATGTTTTGAAACAATTGTGAGTGTATTTCAGTTTTTTAAATTTAGTCAAAAGAAATAATATGCAGATTTGATCTAAATAGAATTTCAGGATCTCTTACCAAGAGGCTGCTTTAGGACTGTTAAGGGTAGCTGTTTTTCATTTGCACTAAAATTACGCTAGCTTTTTGGGTTTTTTTCCTACAAAGTAGTCTGAAGCTGCAGTTGTTCATGTTGATTTTACCAGACCTGTAACTTTAATTTCTGGTGTATACCTGAAGGAGTTGCAACTTTTTAAATAAATGAAAGGAGATGGTTAATGTAGTAGGAAAACCAGTTTTACTACAGAATTTGTTCCATCACTTTTTAGTGTCCTGTAAACAATGCAGAGAGGTTGAGCCACATCAAACGTTGGTTCTAAAATTGGTTTTCATTCTTCGTTATGATTGAATCCCATACAAAGGCATGGTGTCCTCTAAAGAGCCTGTTTGGTCAGGTTCACCTGAACAAATGAATCTGGCCACGTGCTTGGCCTGACCTTAATTTTTAAGTGTTTTTTGATAGTCGAAAGTCTTTGTTTTCTCAGTGTAGCCTTCAGCATACTGCTCTCTGGTTGGTAGCTTCTAAGTGCTACAGCAGCAAGTATTTAGTGCAGTAATCCCTGTGGTGATGTCCTCATGTTTGGGAATCTACATTGGCTCCTGTACTTGCTTGATAGCCTTTTCTCTTGTCTGCAAGACTTTTTGTTTTGAACTTAATATAACATTGGTGAATGTTTCAGAAATACTGAAATTCAATTGAGTTGATGCTTTTTGTTGAAAGTTAAAGGAAGAAAGTGAATGGATGATTGTTTTCTGTTTTCCCAAGCAGTGACTGAACTGTGTGCTTAAATTGCTAAGTGATTAAAAAGTTGGATATTTGAAACCCAAATTCAAATAATTGCAAGCGCAAGTGATCTTGTCAAGCAACCGTGCTACCTGAAAGTGTAAAGCAATGTAATACAGCTATATAAGAGAGAACGTGACAGTGTCATGCTGGATTTATTTTATAGCTGTGGTGATTAGTCATACAGTGGATGTTTCCAAAAACGACAAACCCCTTCTGCTGGAAAGGAGATCTTGACCAGTCTTTTCCTCTCTGTGATTGTTGCTATGTCGCAGGGAAGGGATGGGGAAGGAGGACTTTAATTAAAAGACTATAGGCATGGTAATGCTTGGAGTAGTAATTTGTGAAGCTGTCAGAAGATCAGTGCTAAATCACTGACCCTTCTCTTTCCCACACAGGCATCTTTGCACTCTGTCATCCTTGTAGAGGGGCAGCAGGTTCTTCCTGTCTTTAGTGAAAGCACTGAAGGCCATATCAGACTGTCAGGCTTCCAGCTAGGCACTTCAATGCCAAAATGTCTCGTAAAGATCCACACAAGGGACCAAAGCCCCTTCGCTGCTTTATAAAATGCTATATTACAGGCTACAACTCTTTTCCAAAATGTTTTATGTTGTGAAGTGTCACTGAGCTGTGACAGCCTGTCTTCTAACTCCTGTGCTGCCTCTTAGGATTTCATAGAGTCATCAGTGACACTTTTTCAGTCTGATGATGAAGATGGGAAAGCATTAGACATCGTCAATGAAGAAATCCCTGACTTGGAGCTGGCTGGATTTGGCCCAGAGACGAAATCAATTCTTGTGAGAAGTGGAGTGTAAGTCTACAGAAATACATGGATGGAAGTATTAAGTATTTTAGTGCACAGTTGAGGTTGGGTACATCTTTTGACAGAATATATTTCACATGGTACAGGTGGTCAGCATTTGAGGGAGAACAATGTTCCTTTCAGTTTCCTTGGTAAATGGAAGAAAAAAAAAAAATCTTAGTTTTCTCTGAATCTGTAGGCATTCCTGTTACTAGAGAAAGCTTGTGTTGTCCCTCCAGAGGTCACACAGTCTATAGTTTCATTATACGGGAGCTTTGGCAGTAATACAGAAGAGGGATTTTAGGTATGTTAAGATACCTTTTGGGACAGGTGAAGCCTGTACAGAAAGGATGGGCTGTGCCTTATTTTGTAATAACATCAGGCTGCTGGCAATGAAAATTAAAATATTTTTTAGAGAACTGTCTAAACTAAAAGCAAGGGATTAAACTGACAGGTGTGGAAGAGTACCTGGTTGAAGCTGATACAGCCTACAGGGTGGACTTCGCTAACTTGCAGTGAGCAGATGTGAAGTTCGGAAGGAAAATAAGCAGCACAATTGCAATAAATAAGGAAGGTAAATTAGGCTGCCTGCAATGTCTCTTGTTGGAGATATGCAGCATTAACTAATGGAGCAAGGGCAAGACTTCCAAGTGCTAGAGGCCTGAAAAGTACTATGGGAGAACTGGAATGCTTGGCATGAAATGACAGCTCTGATATAGCAGAGACTGCAGAGATCTGCAGGAAGGTTAAGCAGAGGAGCTACCACCTCTGTAGGATTGATAGGATAGGCTGTTATAGGCATGGGAGTGGTACTGTGCATGAAAAATGATATCAAGTGCTAAAATGTAAAATAAGTTATGGGAAAAAAGCATTATGGAATTTCCACACACATGATCCCACACTTCTAATAGCAATTTTAAAAGTGCGGTATTAACATTTTCATGCCTACCCTAATGGCGATCGTGATAGACATCAGCAACTGTTAAGTGAGACTGAAAAAGCTTCAAACTTAGGACAGGTAGCAATAGTGGGGAATTTGAACTCCTCACATAAACTGAATATCAGTGACTCTTAAGGATGAAAAGCTGGGACTCAATTTGGAGAAGAGATGGCTGTGGATAGATACAAATGAGATCTGCAAAATCTTGAAGGTGGTAGACAGGCTTAATGCAGCTAAAGTAGGATGTGGTAGCAGATAGCGCCAGGACGTTTATAAAAACATTAGACAAATTAATGACAAACTGATTGATTAATGGGTGCTTAAAACGGGCTAGGAGAGGAGATGCCTTCTGATATCCCTAATGTAACAGTCCTGGGTACTGGGTGACTAAGAGAGGAATGCCCTACCGAAAGTGGTCAGGTTAGCAATGTCTCTAACTAGCCTCCATCTACTTCTGCCACTGCCAAAGAGCATGTGTGCAGGGCTAGGGGCACCCTCGGTCTCATGTTGTTGGAAATTCCATTCTTCTTAAATCACAACAGGGAAAGCAGGGTGGGGAACTGCCAACCATTGCAAGTTTTTGTTTTATCTCATCCTATGATGTTTTCAGTTTAATTTTTGTGTCATTTTTCCAGGTGGGTTGCATATAAGCAGAAGTATTTCTGTGGAGACCAGTATGTATTGGAGAAAGGAAAATACAAATGTTTCTTTGACTGGGGAGGATCTAGTAAAATCATCAAGTCAATTCGACCTATTAAGTTGGTGAGTTACCAGAACTTGTTAAGGGGAAAACTTAAAAGAAATGAGAACATAGAAATCAGAACGTACAATAATGTTATCATGTAGGCTGTGCTGTTTAATCAGTTTGTCTGTTTACTTGGAAACAAGTTAAAAACCTGTGTGGATGGCATATAATGAGTTTGTTCAGGATGGAGACTGAAATGGGCTCTTAGGATCTTTCTGTCTGTTGAGAAGGTTGTCTGGGAAACTTCATAAGAAGAACTTCCCTTTGGCAGGGTGCATTCGTGGAAAGAATAACCTAGCCTAGAAAGATGAATTTGCCTTGAAACATAGTAATGTATAATGCCCCATTGATAATGGATACAAAAATACTTGAGAATTTATCTGCCCCATATTGTTGCTGTATTATAGAGGTCTGATTACCACCCCCCCTATTTTCTGCTAAAATATTTGTAATGCATATAGTGAATCAAGACAGGAAATATTCTTAACCCATTATTAAATCCAAGGTAGTGCAACTTGCCCAAATATATTAGTTCCAGAATTATCAAAACCCTAACGCAAAACAAAGACAATCCTCAGTAATTAGTATATAATAAATTATGCTACTGCACTGAAAACAGGAAAAGAACATTTAACCTTATTTTTTAAGAGCCTGTGTTGAAAGAGGTGTCCTAGACTTCTGTTGCTTTTAATTCTGTTCTTTTTTGAAGAAATTGACTCAAAAATAAATACAGACATTTACATGGCTCTAATCCACATTATATGAACTAATTAATACTGATGCAGGTTCTCTGTGCAGAAAGGGACTGAGCAGTCAGGCAGGTATTTGTGAGCTTACAGGCAGCTGATGGCAGAGGCTGGGGAAGATAATTGTGCCAAGAGCATGGGAAATGTGTTTTTCTCTGCTCTTGAGTTCATAATTAACAAATTTCAGGAACTTGACATGTATTCTAGGGAATTAATTGTAAATAACTTTATTTATATGCATGTATATGTATTTGTTATTGCAGGAACCGCTTGGAAACAATGAACCTCCACATCTGGTATGTTGACCTTGTATAACAGTCTCTAGTACTAAACTACATTTGATAATTAAATACAGGTAATGCTGAATGTCTTGCTTTGTTACTTCAGATGATATCTCAGTATTATCATCTCCATACAGCAGAGCATTGGTAGAGGAAGCTAGTAGCTCTGTGCTTCCCTTTTCCTCACAGTAACGTATGACCTTAACTGAACACATCCTGATTATAACAGGTCTGTGATAAATCTCTTCTGTGATACATTCTAACTATTTCCCTGAAAGTCATGTCTGACTTGGTGACAAGTTGGAAAGCAATCCCTATAATTCACTTTTAGTATCAAGAACAAGTTAGTTTAGGGTTTCGCACTTTTGGTCGTTATCTTACACGGTTGTGTTCCATTAATGTACCTTTGTGATATCTTCAAAAACTTCCTCTAAGTATTTGTGGAAGGATAGTCTGTGTCTTCCACAACATTCTGTCCCAAGAGGGTTCTCCTCCCTTCCTACATTAGTTGCTTGAATTCTTTTTTTTTTTTTTTTCTGGATTGTGCTGCTAGCATGGGTGATGATCTAAGTGGTTGTATTGCTCTCTCTATGACATGCTCTTCATTAAGCAAATTTGGAAGACATGACATTTTTTCAGACAAAAGAGACTGTAGAGCTCAATGATTCTGTTTGAGAAACCTTAACTATTTCATCATCTGGACACAATTTTGCTTGCTTGCTCAGATGGGTACAATAGTCATAAGCACATGGGAAATGCATACATTGTGTGGTAGGTCAACATTGCAGGTTGACCACACCTTTCTTTTTCTCCAAGTGGTCTAGTTCTACAGTTTTATGATTAACCCAGGACTACAGGAAATGTTTCCTGTCTGAAGACATAATTGGTGTATTATTTTATTCTTAAACACTGATTTCCTGCCAGACCTATTCACATGGTAGTTTGTGGCCAAACTTGCAAGTGCATTCACAGTAAGGCCTTGGTAAATGATACCAGATAAAATAACCGACTCGGAGGATACCAGTGGGATCCAAACAGTTGAAGATAATTTTCTTTCCATCTTCAACTCTTCTGGTTTTTTCAGGGTCTCCTAAAACAAAAAAATACTCTTTGAGTGATTTAATCCAGTTCTGCAAACCTTTAAGATCAATTCAGACCTTGAAGTTTCAATAAATTGTGCTTTACAGTCTTTTTATTTCCAGTGATATGTGAAAAAATCATTGTGTGTATATGTACACATTCACCTTTAAATACTGACATGTGCTAAGTTGTGTTTTGCCTTTTGTGTTCCCTAATAGCAGTCTTAATGCCGTTTTTAAAAAATGCTCTCCTGACTTATCACAATCCTAGTGTTCATGAGATTCTGGCCTAAAGCTAGGGAAGGAAGAATGTCATTCGTATTGCTGCAGTTATTTTAGCAGGGGAAATACTTTGAATAATTTTTTTATGGGAAAACGTTTAATCACTTAGGACAAGTAAAGATGGTCTTTGGGATAAATATGAAAAACTTCCCATTCAAAGTAAAATAAAAGTTTCCATGTGTGCAGCAGTCTCTTAGTTTGGAAATTAAAAGCATGGTGCATATGAGCTGGCAAATCCTTCAGCATCCTAATGTTTGACTCTTATATAAGCCATATAGCAGTTATTTTGAATGGTTATACATTCTCCCACCTTTAACGAACACGTCTGAGCTAAGGGAGCTGTTTTCACTGTCTACAGGAGTCTCTTTTTTCCACTCCTGTTTTTAGTTGCTCATCAGAAATTAAAAAGCAACTATTTTTTTCTTAAATCTCTTAGTAACTCGCCTGACCTTTTCGTCCTGCCAGACTCCCTAATAAACAAGGTACATATAATGTAAGAGTGCCTGAAATCACCAACTCTAAAAAGCCATTCATTTTATTTATTAAAAATAAATCTTGGTTTTGCCCAGCAAGAACAAAGCCTCTTTCAATAGCAGCTGACTCGCACAGATGATTTAGGAAGCAGAGATAATTGCTGTGATAACTTGTATTTGTATTTTAACATGCTGTCTGTTGACTTTTTAGGAAGCAAAACCTCGTATAGTATGTCAAACCCTGACAAAGTGGAGATAGCTGCAGTTTGAGACTAATTGCAGAGAGTTCCAGATCTTTTTTTAAAAGCCTTTCATAGCATCTGGCCTATGAAAGAAAGACAGCGTGTATATATATTTTTTCCTTTATACAGGGCTTTGAGATAAGTGGGTAGAAAATACTATGTAATTACAGCTTAAATAGATGCTTTGTGACATGGCAGTGCAATTATATTTACAGAAAAATCAATTACACTTTATACATTATATTGTAGTATATTTGTGTTCTTCAATTTGCAGTTACAGCATGCAAGGCCAGGTTAAGCCTTTCTTGTTCTTTCTAACAGGAAACATACTCATTTATTTTAAAAACACAAGACTGAGCTTTTCCATAAAATCATTTGCTGATACTTGTGTTTGGCCTTCTTTCTCTGTACTGGCAAAAGCATTTAATTTCTTTTCTTTGGCAGGAAGCTAGGCCAGTTTGGGGCATAAAGGGGGAAATAGCTCTTGCAACAGCCATCATGTTTTTCTTCCATTACAGAATATGAGCTGTTCTCTTGATACAGTTAAATTTTTCATTCTTTTCCAGCCTCTCTTTTAGGCTTTAAAGTGAAATTCATCTCAGTTATGCAGCAGAGGTCCAAGGGTACAGAATTCTGAATTCTGGCAACTTTGCTCTAGGTCATAAGCTGTATCATACTACTTTTTTCTTTTTTTATTTTTTTTTCCTTTTATTGTAGAACTTTCAACCTTTTTGCCTTTTTCAAGGTGAATTGATTGTACCGTACTGGTGGGGTTATGATTCAATGTGGCTTCACCTTCACCATGACATGTAAAACGGCTTAGTTGAGCGTCAGATGTTTGTGGTGCATCTACCAGGCTGTACCCAGTTCCTCCAGAAATTCTCTTGCTAGTTCTTAAATGAGAAGCTACCTGCAATCACTGTGGTCACAGAAGATTTCAGGGCACTTTGTCAACAGTAGCCCTGTATGTTTTGACCAACACTTCCCCATCCTGTTTAAAACGGTGGTTTTCTGAGCTGTAGCCAGAGTTAGCTGTGGTTCAGGGGTTCTTTAGATGGAAGATAACATCCTTCAGTCCTAGCCTTCTGTTTTTGTCTGAGCCCTCTGCTGCTGCAGTTGAACTTATGCTTGATACCCCTGCCTTAGCATCACTGGGAAGCAGCTGTAGAAATGTAAAAGATTCTTCAAATGAGAATTCATTCTGTTTATTGTATCTTTGTGAATTGAATGGATACTTCTCTAAGACCTCAGCTGTCTCTGTTTACGTTAATGATAATGTGTTTGTTTTCCTTCCAGTCATTGCTTTTGTTTTGTTTTGTTCTTGTAGCTCAAAGCTTTCAGTAATACACATTTCCAAGGAGCATGCATAGATTTCACAGCAGAAGTTTCTGATTTTACATCATTCATACCATGTTCTTTTAAGGTTCTTCGGGGATGGTAAGTCTGTTGTTTTACATGCCACCATATTAAGTAATAAGATTTTTTTTTAAAATGCTACGAAATTTCAGACAGCTGGAAGTGCATAACACGTGCCCATCATATTCCATCATATCTTAGACCCTTTGTCTTGCAATGCATCTCAGTAGCTGTCGTTCTGTCATTGGTTTGGGTGGTAGGCATTTTGCTTTCCCTCTGGGAAGTTTGCACAGTTACTGTGATTCTTTTTTCTTTTTAACTCCAATAAGAATTTATTCCAGATTTTGAGAACTTGGTACCGTAGAAGTGTCTGCATTCCACTCACTCGTTGGACTCTGGAACTGAGATTTCTGTACCACATGATTTGATTTTGCTGCTTTGTCACAAGTCACCGTACTTCTAAGCTTAACAAGAACAAACGGATTCTTTATTACTTATTTCCTTAGCAAATATTAAATCTTGAAAAAATCTTACTGTTAATAAGCAGCTAGAGAAGCTAATCTTTTTTATTATATTATTCTTGCAGTTGGCTCCTGTATTACCAAGGGGAAATCACTGACAATCACTGTGTGCTGGAAGAAGGCCTCTACATTGACCTCAGTTCCTGTGGCTGCCCGACTGCTACAATCAAATCCCTCAAGCCTATTCAATATGTAAGGACTTTATTGAAATAGAAAATAACTTTTTTGAACTCTTTC